AGATGGGAAGCGAGGAAGCTCTTTGGTATTTGAGTTTGACTAAGGTCCAAGATAAGGTCGGATCGCCTGAATCCATCAAAGCGTTGCAAGAGGCATTGCCAGCAAACCCAGAACTGGTCCGCTCCAAGCCTGCACAAAAGCCGAAAGCACAATTTTCCCGGCACCATACAAGCAAAATCGTCGCTATTGAAGAAGTCGAGGATAGTGACGAAGATGAAGAGGAAGAGGAAGATGACGACCTCATTCCGTATGAAAAGCCAGACAACGATGCATACGATTCTGATGATGATCCCACGTTGATCCAACGGAATAAACCAACAGCGCCTGTGTGAGTACTGATTGCCAGCTGATATCGATCTCGCTAACAAATGTAAGATACATCCGTGATTTGATCCCGTCTCTACGAGACACTGAGAATGTCGAGCGCTATCATCTAGCCATCACCACTGCTCCATCCTTAATTCGTCGGAAGATAGGATTTGGAACTGAACTTGCCGAGCAGATCGAAGAGCTAGCTCTCACCATCGTGGGTCTTCAAAATGACAACAACCATCCGTCATTCCATGAATCTCGTTTACAAAGCATGATTGCACTCATTGTGTCCGAACCCTTCAAGATGGGCCGCTGGTTTACTGCTATGTACTTCGATGGAGATATTTCTCAAGTCCAGAGATCCGCTGTTCTCACAGCCCTGGGTCTGAGTGCTCGCGAGTTAGCCGGGAATGGAGAAGACGATGCAAAAGCACTGCGTCTCCCAACTACTGGCGATACTTCATTCCCATCCAAACGACTCTCGCCTGCCCTAGAGGCCATGTACTCGGGAACAAAGGAGTCTCCCATTGCAACGCTCACTCGGGAAATGTCCCGCACATCCTTGGAACCGCTCGCAGCCAACGCAGCAGATACAATGACCGGTCCCAATGCTCTCAAAGTGCGAACCTTCTCATCGCGTATGGAAGTCGAGAAGAAACGCCAACAGCGTGACACCAAGCGTCAAAACTCCACAATCAAAGATCTGCACAAGGTGCTTGCTGAGGGTTTCTTCTTCCCACTACAGGGCAGATTTGAAATTATGATGCTGCAGTTCTCCTCGTATGTTCTATGTTTCTCTATCTCATTTCGAATCTTTAAAATAACACGTTCCAGGTCCTCCACGTCCTCATACAACCCATTCTTCATCCCCCATCTCCTAACCCTCTTCCTCCAAACCCTCACCCTCATTCTCTCCACAACAGGCCCCCACACCCCCTTCCTCCCAGCCCTCACCCACGAAACCCTCTCTCTCCTCTTACCGCTACACACAGCCTCAACATCTAGCGAGCCAACCGTCACTGCCGCACTCCTATCCCTCTTCCTCGCTATAGTGGATCTCAACATTGCGTCTGGCTCGAATGGCGAGCAGCGTCTTGTCACCGAGTACGCCACGCAGGTGATCGAATTGCGCGAATGGGCTTCCCAGGTCTTCGACCGGACGCCGCCTTCGGCTGCGCGGGCTGATCTCAGCTCAGCGGTTACTGACCCGCAAGAGCAGATACGTACCCTTTCTGCTGGTGTTATGGTGCGGCTCGGGGAGGTGATAGAGCGGTATCAGGGCCGGTTGATGGGAGTTCATTCTGGATTTAACTATTAAATCAATCTTTGGGACCTCTATCTGTTTATTAGGTTGAGATCTAGAATCGAAACAGATGTTGAAATTATGTAACATGGATAGTTAGATAGTCAACTATGCTTATCTTGATGACTTGAAAATAAAGGTCTAAAAATGCCAAAGACGTATTGTTAAATAGAATCAAGTTTATAGAGTTTTATGTCAAGCTGAATTCGAAAACTACTGTACAGCACCAGCATGTTGGGAAAGGTCATTAGAGCGAGCTTACCTGTTTGGTTATAACAGTATAATCATTGAAAGAGATTACAGTTCATTCCGAACCTATGTAAAGAGCTAAATGTAGCATGGATGCTAGTGTATGTAGGCTATTCCTATTACTAATTACTAAGGAAATTATTCCTCGAAAAATTTAGGTATATAATTAGGATAGTTAAAAATATAAAGCATTTCTATATATCTTATATAGGTCACGTTTAATATATTTGCAATGTTTATAGTCCTATAGGAGTCCTATCAAAGTTCTATAGAAGCGGACTAGCACCTCGCTCCCATCTCTTAGCATTTTCATGGGACCAAATGATGGGAGTTAGCAAAGTCTAGGGGTGAGCACTAAAGCGGAAAGGGAAAGCAATGTCGCGCAGTCTAAAATCCGGTGTACATGTAACTATGTATCATTATGATCACTGAGGTGTAGATTAACCCATTTACTCCGCCTTGGCAAAGCTACCCTTCTCGATAGCCGCCTCCATCATCCGATCACCACTAATGATACTCGTGGTACAGATAATAATCTTCCTCCGTGGAGCCTCTTGCGCAGCAATGAAGCGCAACGCAGCGATCTCCGTGAATGTGATGCCTCCCAAGAAAAAGACATACACGGCCTTTGTAGCAGAGTTACCGCTCAGCGTTTGACGAGCCCGCACAGCCTTGTCATCGCCCTTCTGGACAATGCTGAAGGTTGCACCGCGAGCACTCTTGACAACGTCCTCGAAGCCAAGCCAGCCAGGCGACGTGGTACTAGCGGTATTCAGCGAGGCGGCCGGCGTACCTCCCTTAATCAGCGAGACCATGTAGGACTTTTGTAACACGCATTGAACCAGGCGGACGCTGAGAGGTGCAAAGCCACTGTACACGTACGAAATATCGTTCGGGTCCTTCTCGCTGACCTCCTCGATGACAAGACGGAGGTTCTTACGCAAGTACCCATAGTTTGTCTTGAATCCTGCTTGCGCGCCAGATGTAGGGAGTAGCATTGTTGTTGCTGAGGATCTAGGCTGAAGAAGCTCCATTTTCTCTAGTGCCCAGAATGTGAGGAGGTGCTGGTGGCCATAGGCTTGAACGACCTGTCTCTTAAAGCTCTCTAGGTCGCGGGGACGGAGACCCCCAGACATGCAGGACTCTAAGCACAGGAGGCGTAGCACAGTCTTTAGTGGGACGTCGCGAGCTATAAGCTCTTCAATTGTCTCGTGCTGGTATGTGGAGTCGGCACCGGCTGCGTTGTTTTGCTGAACTTCTAAAGTTTTGCGGAAGGTTTCGGAGCGGGTGAGCCGCATTATTTCCTCTGCGAGGTTGGTATGGGTCCGAAGACTCTGGTGCTCCAGCTGGTAGGTTGGTAATCGGTTGACAAACTCTCGAAGTTCGCCTGTTGTTTTAGCTGTGTGACGGCTCTCGTATTCATTTTCTAAGCGGCGTGCCACTTTATTCAGGATATCGCCCACGATCGCAAAGTTTGCATCTCGCAGTTGGCTGAATAATTGGTCCGAGGCATCAAGCTGGATCTTTCTTTTCAGTCCTTGCTTGGCTTGCTGGGGTGTCTTGGATGACTCTTGAGACTGTGGCGTGGGAGCAGGGCCGACAATGCTCGTATCAACGTCTGCTTGATTGTTCTTTATACCGACATATTCATCAATTAAGCCTTCATAGGTGAGCTGTGTGAGAAGAGCCGTCCCAAAGTCCACGTCACGGTCTATGATGATCAGGTTCTCTACACTCGCACTTGGTAAAAGCCCCCGTGCAGAGGGATCAGCTAGTCCGGAGCTCTCCTCTGCATCAAGTTCTTTCCTCATACGCAACAGGAGATCTGCCAGACGTCGGGCATTGTCGCCTTTTCCGACAATGCGTGGGAAATATCCATGGCGTTGCTGGACGCCCATAAGAGCCTTAGCGGCATGGAAGATACACCCGGGGTCTTTGTGCTGAATAGCAAGGTCAGAAAATGTCTTGTTCAAGCACTAGCAACCTATGCCAACTTACCAAGTACAAGTCCCCAAACGATTCGTCCAGTTCTAGTGACAAGATATCTTGTTCTAGAGGCATAAAATAGAGAGGAAGCTCGGCGATGTTCACGTCACCGGTGATTCCCGCCTCCTCCAAGACTGCATTGCTTACTAGGGTCCGTCTTGGAGCGAAGAAGATGGAGAACTCATGTTCGACGTTTCCATTATTCTGCAGACGTTTGATTTGTTCTAAGGTAGAAATGTCAGCTTGTCCTGATGGCACTCAATCAGAGATAGCAGGAAAGGGCCCTAATGAAACGAGCTTGTAAAAATGTTGTAAAGATGAATATCGATATAGGGAACGTTTCTCCAGATTACATAGAGTGAAAAAGCGTCTGTGTAATCTAATGATGGCCCATCATGGACCCAGATGAATGAGATCCAATCTACGCCAGCGAAACAAGCCGAAAGGGGGCAAAAAAGAGACAATGTCATACCTGCCACAATTCGAACGTGGCGAGCTTTCTCGCCACGAACAAGGAATACAACATTGCGTTGTGATGAGTCGATGTTTGCATTTTCCAGCAAGAAGACCCGGTCCACACCATACTCTTGGAGCACGGAGAACTTGACGAATAGCCCCACTGGGCCGGCCAGCTCCTGGCTTATGACGAGGTTCTTCTTACCCCGGGCCTGGAGGATAGTTAGCGCAGATCAGAATATCAAGGAACTGTACGCACGCCTTCTAGTAAAGTTAAGAGATCCCTCCGCGCCTTGTCCCTGAAGTAGTCCGCATCAGACCCCGATAAAGGAGCCATTTCATCCAGGCAGCAGAGGCAATGTTGTGGCCAAAAATAAACAGAGACGTTGAAGTGCCACTGCGCCCGCATTGGGTTAGCACTGCCACTGCTGATGTAACTAGGTAATTTTCGTATTGGTATGGTTATAATTGTTATATTTCCCACATACCTCTAGGTAACTTTGGTATGCCCCTCGTATGTATATTATCATCAGGCGGCGATCTCCAACATCTAGCTCCCCTGAAGGCGTCTCACATTAATTCTTTCTCTTGTCTCATTTCATTTTCTTTCTCCTTACTTTCTTGTACTTCCATTAACTCTCGACTATTTTAATTGCATTCAACAGATCTTTACAACCCTGTATCCCCGCACATAATGGGTCTTTTCAAGAAATCCGACGGCGACGAGGACTCTAGCCGCCGAGCACTCTTCGGCTCGCGGAAGAAGGACAAAAGCCCCTCTACTACCCCGAACCCTTACGCTCAACCAATTCCGGTAGACCCATACACTAAAGCCAAGATTGGCGCAGGTGTTGCCCCCTTGCCTGCCGACCACCCAGCTGCCAACGGCGGCCGCTCGTCGCAGAGCCCCCCACTCCATCCCCCCCGACAACAAGTACTCCGCCAACAAATATGGAAACCAAGGCGGCTACGGAAGTGATCGATTCGGCGGATCTGGCGCAGGCGCCGGCTCCCCGGCTTCAGGCTCAGGCTCGCGGTATGGAAGCGGTGGCTACGGAGGTCTGGGCGGCGGCGATCCCAATGACCCCGCGGCTGCAGACTCCGCTCGCAACGAGCTGTTCGGCGGCGCCAACAAGAACAAGAACCGGTCACCGGAAAACTCGGCCGGTTCACCACCGCCGTATTCCGAGGGCCAAAATGGTCAAGGTCAAAACAACTACGGTGGTGGCAGCAACGAGTACAGCATGGCGACCTTCCAGGATCGGCAGCTGACAGCCGAAGAAGAGGAGGAAGAGGAAGTCCAGGCGACGAAGAACGAGATACGCTTCGTGAAGCAGGGTGATGTGGCGTCGACACGAAATGCACTCCGAGCCGCCGCACAAGCCGAAGAAACCGGTCGCGCTACTCTGGCCCGACTCGGTGCTCAGGGCGAGTCAGTCCACGACACGGAGAAGAGTCTGGACATGACAACCATTGAAGGCCGCATTGCGGAGGAGAAGGCAAAGGAGCTCAAGACTCTCAATAAGAGCATGTTCGCCGTGCACGTGTCCAACCCGTTCACGGCCTCGCGACGCCGGCGTGACCGCGATGAGAAGACCCTCAATACACACCGTCAGGATCGTGAAATCCGCGAAGGCACACGGTCCGAGGCGCACGCGACTAATCAGCGTATGGAGAAGGTGTTCCGTGATATTGACCGCGATGCGGCGAAACAGGGCAAGGGCAAGAAGGCTAGTGTCACCGAGCGTGCCAAGTACCAATTCGAGGCAGATAGCGAGGACGAGGCAATGGAGGACGAGATCGAGCAGAACTTGGATTTGCTCAGTGGTGCTACTGGTCGGTTGAACGGTCTTGCCAAGGCCACTGGCAAGGAGCTGGATGAGCAGAACAGACATCTGGAGCGTATCATGGGCAAGGTGAGTTTTTGCGATCCCTTCAATTTGGTATTTCTGTGGATATGAGACTAACTGGCTACAGAGCGACTTTGTCGACGATCAGATTGCCATGAACCGGGCCAAGTTGGACCGGATTCGTTAGATACGTTCGCTGTTCAAGGCAAATGGGGCTGCGGTATGCCTGGTGCTGTCGAGCTCGGTAATTTTCTGCGTACATTCCATCCGTTGGATGGGGATCTCACATTGGCGTTGGGGCTGGTTCTGCATTGTCTGCCGTGGTCATATCAGAGCCGGCGACTAAGATATTAGTTGAACATCAATTATCATAATCTCATTGCGATTCATTTCGAGTATGTCATACTTTGAACTCAATTGACCTACACCGTAGGGAAGTAGGCCAGCCCATGCGTCTTGTGATGCTCATATGCCTCTAGATATACAATACGAGTTGGATAGACCCCCTCGACATTGCTCAATTACGCAGACGAATCTGCCGGGGTACCCTTGTCATGCCACTACTCAAACCTCAGTCACAATATTCAAATCCCACGGAGATCGACATCCCGACTGCGGGGACTGTGGGGGAGCACCCGGAGAATGAACCTCCGCAGAGCCCTAAATGCATCGGAGTATAAAACCACACTTCCAACGCAAGTATAAGTCACTTACTTCTACGAGCCAATTTCTCTCCAACTTCCAAGGTCACAATCTTTCAAATCCCATCATGCCCTTACCCCAAAAAACCGATATCCTCGTGATAGGCAGCGGCAACGCCGGCCTCAGCGCCGCCCTTTCAGCGGCACAAACCAACCCAACCTTAAAAGTGACCGTAATCGACAAAAGCCCCGTTTCATGGGCCGGGGGTAACAGCTACTTCACAGCCGGCGCCTTCCGCACCGTCCACGATGGCCTCCGCGACCTCCTCCCACTAGTCAACAACACCGACGCGACACAAGCATCCCGCATCGACATGTCAAGTTACACAGAACAAGACTTCACCGCCGATCTCCAGCGCATGACAGGAAACCGCACCAACCCCGCACTATCAGCAGCTCTAGTCCGCGACTCGCGCACCGCCGTAGGCTGGCTAGCCGCGAACGGCATCCGCTTCCAGCTCTCCTTCAACCGCCAGGCGTACGAAGTCAATGGCAGAATCAAGTTCTGGGGCGGCCTCGCGCTGAAAACCCAAGATGGCGGAAAGGGTCTGGTTGAGGATGAGTTGCGTGCGGTGAGGAACGCCGGCGTGGATGTGTTCTTCGACACGGCTGCCACGGCGCTAGTAACTGATCCGACAAGCGGCACTGTTATCGGTGTTGAAGTTGTTAACACGGATAGTGCTGGCGTACACAAGAAAATTATCATCGCTGCCGGCGCGGTCATTCTCGCCGCAGGCGGTTTCGAGGCAAACCCGCAGCTGCGGGCGCAATGGCTTGGTCCTGGGTGGGATGGTGCGCGTGTGCGTGGTACACCGTATAATACGGGTGAGATGTTGCAGATTGCGCAGCGGGATGTGTCGGCTAAGACGGCTGGGAATTGGAGTGGATGCCATAGTGTGGCGTGGGATGCAGATGCGCCGGCGGATTCGGGGAACCGGGAGGTTTCGAATGAGTTTACGAAGAGTGGGTATCCGCTTGGGATTATGGTTAATCGGGATGGAGAACGGTTTGTTGATGAAGGGTTTGATATGCGGAACTATACGTATGCGATGATTGGGCGGCGGGTGCTTCAGCAGCCTGGACAGGTTGCGTTCCAGGTTTGGGATGCGCGGACTGCGGCATGGTTGCGTGAGGAGGAGTATCGGGGTGAGGTTGTTCGGCGCATTGAGGGTGCGTCGTTGGAGGAGCTTGCGGAGAAGTGCGCGGAAGTTGGACTCGTCGATCCTACGCGCTTTGTGGAAAGTGTTAAGGAGTATAATGCCTCTGTTGAGGATGGAGATGGGCAGAAGAGGTGGAATCCTGCTGTCAAGGATGGACTTGCTACTAAGGGACTGGCTGTTCCCAAGTCGAATTGGGCCTTGCCTATTGACAAGGCACCGTTCCTGGCTGTCAAGGTCACGGCAGGTATCACTTTCACCTTTGGTGGATTGGCTGTGAATCCTGAAACTGCGGCGGTCATTTCGGAGACGACGAATAATGAGGTTCCTGGATTGTATTGTGTGGGTGAGATGCTTGGAGGTATCTTCTATGATAACTACCCTGGTGGAAGTGGATTGACGTCTGGGGCTGTCTTTGGACGTCGTGCTGGTAGAGCAGCAGCGGAGCGAGCTGGAAAGAGTGGAAGACTCGAACGGTTGTGATTCTCGCGATATCGAGAGACTAGGTGATTACAGAAGGTCAAAAGGATTGCATATCAAGACAGGTAACCACACAGCTACAGGGAATGATAGAATGTTCAGAATGTCTTTGATTGATTAGACAATATATTTAGTAGCGACTGTAATATGAAACACGAACAGGGCCAGGCCCAGCCAGTTTCAAAACGATAGGAACAATGCTTCTTCCTATGGGTATCATCACCAACACCAACCCAAACTTGCAGGTGAACCCATGCACTTGACACTTGAAACGCAAACTTGGTGGAAAAAGGCGACTGGGGCAAAAAGGATAACAATGTAATAGGTTTAAGCAATGCAGAATGCATGCCATGGAAGATTAAGAAGCGAAACAAAGAATCAGGGTATGGCCTGCAGAGAGAAAATAAAGAAACATCGAATCATCACAAGCCCCCATGGTATCGAGAAAAAGCAGAAAGGTGACGCCCAGGTCTAGCGAAAGAATAAGAAACGAAATGAAAACAACGCATCCAGCCGGAAACCTCTATGGTCATAACGTGGGTAAAACAAAGGAAACATGGAAATATGAAAGAAAAAAGAAAAGAAAAGGCTCTCTCTTGCCTGTGGCCCTCGAACAGAAGCCATTATACCCATAAATCACAGACCGTTTTGGAAGGAGTATGGTATGTATAAGCGTCTCTCTCCGATCAGGAAATGTTTGTCGGGAGTTGATAAAGAAGAAAAAAAAAAAAGGTGATCCATGCTGTTGTACAAGGAGACGAGAAAGGGCGAGCCATTTGGACAAAACATGCCAACGCAGTTGGTTCATGGATTGGCTCATGGCATAGGGAGAACGAGTTTGCGGCGGGTGGAAGGTCTGGCGCTGTGTGCGCGAAAGGGGTAGGAGAGAGAGCATTCGACGGGGTTTCCGCGTCGAATAGAATAATGTTGTCGTATGAAGGTTGATTCACGGATTACTCGTCGTCATCGCCAGAGCCAGTGTCCTTCTCGCCTTTGTGGACCTTCTTGTGTCGACGCAGGTTTGAGACAACAGAGAAGTGCCGCCCGCAGCCTTCGACATCACACGCGAATGCTAGAAAAAAATGTTAGAATGGATTTCGAATGACTTGTCTTCAGAAATAGAAAACTTACGCTTTTCACCAGTGTGGCTGTACATATGCGTCTGGAGCGAAGACGGACGTGTGAACCGCTTGTCGCAGACCTTGCACTTGTGCTTCTTCTGGGTGTTGGAAGGCATCTTGGAGCTGAATTGGCTCATCATTGATTGCGGGCCAGGGGGGCACTGCCGGCCAAAAGGCTGGTCGGCCGGGGAAGAGTGCGCGATTCGTATGACTCGGAAGTTGTGGAGCTGTAGTCTGTCACGGAGGAGTCGACGGAACCCACCGAAGCGCTGTAGTAGGGGTAGTTGCTGCCGGAGGAGATGGATGAGGCGGACGACTGGGTGGAGGGGAAACCGTAGGAATCGGCTGAGGTTCGCGTGCCGCGAGGGCCGGGGCCGTAGATGTTGCGCGGGGTCAAGTCCTGGCTGAGAGCGACCATTCCACGGCTGGCGTCGAGCGCGTCACCGAAAGTGGGAGCGGGGGCTGAAGAACCAACGCGAGCGGCATCTCTGTGGATTTGTGTAAGTTTTTTTTTTTTTTTTTGCGACTCAGGTAAGCGACGCGGACTCGGGATTCAACTTACGAGTGCGAGATACGGCGTGCGTCTTGCGGAGAGGGGTGAATGGGGGCGTATGCATAGCTGGAAGGTGCGAAACTGCTCATTGGGGGAGCGGTTGTGTAGGAAGGAGCCTGGTCGAAAGTTGTGCGTGGCACCTCATGTTGCATTCCCATTACCTCGGGGCCATAGCTGGCGGCTGCGTAGGTGCTCCCAGCCACCATTGAGGGGGCGGACACAGGGATGTTCGGGTACGGCATAGACATTCCGGTGCGGTTCACCTCCTCCTGCTTGACCTGACTGAGACCCATGCTGGCACCATTACCCATGGAAGTCGCATAGACTGGGGGTGTCGAGTGCGACGAAGTGTGCGCCGCCCACGGATCTGTGAATTGTGGTGGGGTGTGGTGGTAGACATTGTCGAAGCTCATGCCGCCATAGGGGCGGTTCTGGTTTTCCATAACCATCGTCATGGGGGATAGAGTCGCGAATCGATCGCGTGTAGAAGCTGTATAGAGAGAGAGGATTCGAAGATCAAGTTCCAAAGGGTTTCCTTTGGAATAGAGTGATCGTCTGTGTTGATCCGGAGGAATATGAAAGAGAAAGTGATAAACCCGATGATCAACAATTATTTTATAATTTTCAAGGGAGTAAAAGAGAAAGCAGAGGCAGTCTGGGGAAGGGGATCGGCGAAGCTTATGAAGGAATATAAGGTGTGAGGCATGATCCCATATACTCCAAAGTGCCACTGACGACGTCCCGTCGGGGGTTGCAGATCGCTGGAAATGATAATACCGGTATTTATTTTATTTTTATTTTTATTTTATTTTATTATTTTATTTCGTTAATTATTATTTTTTTTTTATGGTTTTTGATTTTTGACTTTTTTTCGTTTTCATTTTTTGGATTTCTCATTTTAAGAATTTTTATTATTAATATTTCTCTCTTTTATTCCCCCTCTTAGGATTGGCCTCTTAGGATTGGCGGAGGAGAGGCATTGCTTAAGGCAAAAGTGGTCCTCAACGGGAACCAGTTCCTCGGATATTGAAATGACTCTTTATATTGACCCTAAGTATACTAGTAATACAATTTACCCTTTGTAAATCAGGGTCTAAAATATATTAATTGCTTAAGCATCAACTAGGCTGAGGAATGGAAGATCTAAAGAATCGGTGTTATCAGTATTTAAATGAGAATGTCAAAAGTTGCTAGGCTCCGGCATCGGAGCAGCAATTACAACAAGCCATACGGAGTGGAAGGTAGAAAGTAACCAGGGAAAAAAAAGCATAACCAGCAGTATTTTTCTACTAACAACATACATAATAAGGAGATGAAAAAGGAGAAAATCATGAGACCCAAAAAGCAGTCGGTGACCTCAGAATCAAAGGGGGTGTAGACTAGGGGAATGTTCAATTGTAGACTAGCCATGATGAACGCTGATGAGTGGCCCAACTCTGCCGTGTTTGAGGGAAGAGGAAACAAAAAAGGAAATTTACGCATTAAATGAATACAAAAAAAAAAAAAAAAAACTATAATGATTTATAATAACATGCAAGAAAAAAGTAAATCAGAAAAAAAAAAGAAAGAAAGGGACTGCCAAGAAATAAACTCACCAAGGTTCGCCCTGAGTCCGCTGTTTCAATGTAGCGGGGCAGATCCCAGTGTCAAAGGGTATACCCGTTGCCGTGGGGGCTAATATGAGTGATTATAGTGATAGTTCTTGACGGAGCACGGAGGCCAGTCTATTCAATGGGATTATCAGACTATAACCATTAGTTCGAGTTGACCCAATACTCTCCAGTACACCACGGATTAAATGTACCTCTAAAACATTCCAAGACCCTTCTAAAAAAAAAAAAAAAAAGGGAAAAAGAGGACATGGCTTAAAAGACAAAAACCCACATCTGAGATGGCATACTGGAGTCTCTCATTATTGGCAAGCTGCAGGATCATAGCCCTAGCACATAAACATAATTCCTGTTCTTATTCTTTCGAATAAAACAAAAAAGATAAAAAGATAAAAAGGAATGGCTTAAGCCATGGAGGGGCCTTTGACACGGCACAGAGAGGGTCTAGCGCGTCAACCCGACCTTACATACGGAGTAGAGAGAAGGGAGCATCGAATCACTAGCCGCCTACATTATTGACTGCATTCTAATTCCATTCGGTCAGGGAATTTGCCAAAAATGCGATGACGTTTGACATCCTAAGCCGAAAGACTCCTGTTTCAGAAATTATAGACCGAATATACAGAGTAGTCTTAGTATGTTGTGCTTCATTGACATGTGGAGGATGTACAGTGCAGTCCGATGGGGCATACTCCACACGGGATAGTAAAACTACCTTAGAGCGAGAGCGGGAACCACATTCTACTATACGAATACTATACTCCGTACTCGGTATAGGTTTTCCGACCTCAAAAACAAAAACTTCTTATCCGTCACACCGTGTAGTCTTCCCTCGGTCGCAAAACCACAAATGCACACAAAAATACGACCGTGCAATGAGGTCGCGCCCAGCGGTACACAAAAAAAAGCCTCCTGCAGGATGAAGGAATAAGTTTGAATACCAACGCTGCCATTAGCCGGGCCATGCGAGCTGTATCACATAGAACACCCTTAAATCCACGCCTAAGGCACCCGAGCGAACGAAAACGGAATCCATGACAACTTCGTATTAGGCCTATCATGATAAGGGACCACGGGCTGCAAGCCATGCTATTTCCCCCTCCCCTGTCTAGGATTGGGACAGCTGGACATCGACGTCAGAGGGGCGGAACAGCGCGACCTTCGATGGGGGTGAGTGGGAGGGTGAGTGGGAAAACGGGAAAAGGGCCGCCGCTTTGGGCAAATTGGCGGTCGCGGCTCCCGCAATAGCGCGGTAGAATAAAGAGCCCGAATGGGACATATCACAATTTATTGCCCTATTTTGTTTCTTTTCTCTCTGTGTGGATTGTTTTGGAGATTATTCCCCATGTCCTCGTGCTTGTGGAACCAGGCATCTCCTCTTCTATCCGATCAAATTTGCTGTTCAATAGTGTAGAAATTCGCAATAAATAAATTTCCGAGATTCATTATGGTCCCCGAGACTCGGGGATTGATGTCACACCCCGGGGGTCGCTCTTGTGGTAAAGGTACTCCGTACTGTCTGTACTCCGTGCAGTGCTGATCACAAGGCACGAGAGGGGGCAGATCGTCGAGTAAAAGCCGAGGAAGAGGCTGAAGAAAACTTACATAACCTTGATTCGATCCAATCACAAAGACTGAAAAAGTCTCCATCAATGATTGGCGATTAGCTCGGGGGGGAAATAAAGGTATGGCATCAGACGGAAGTACCATTTACGGAGTACACACACAACATATACTTTTTGTATTATACATTCAACCATAAAGCATAAAACCTTCCGGTATCAGGATCAACCGCCGCTCTCCCGGACGAGAGGACAAAACATGTTCAACCGTGTTCCAAGGTGCTTGCCACTGCGGAGATCTAAGCGGGGAGCTTGGGACCATGGACGTAAATCCAGAACCGAATCCAAAATAAGTGCCATTCCAGTTTTCTCGCTTTCAGGCTGTTCAGCTTCTCCGCATTCCACTGAACCATGGTAACGCCACGGCGTCCTTGGTTGCACGGGTTTCCAGAAAAACTTAGACCGGGTCATCAACCGTGGAAACTGGCAATTAAACAACCTCCAAGTTCCAAGGTTGTGGGCCGCAGGCGAATATTGAGGGTTCGGTCTTCATTCGGTCCAGGGTTGACCTAGGAGGCTTGCTCGGCCAGATGCAGTACCTAGGATGAAGGAGTAGCCATCCATGGATGATGGAAGTGTGCCTCGAAGACAACCGTGGGTCTCGGGTTACCGGATTAAGATTGGAGTATCGATTAGGTTTCTCTCCATCAACTTACTCCAAGCACTTTATCCAAGAACTTTAGTCTTTTGGCTGTTTATTGAAGACATCTTTGGCCTCGGAACGAAGTCGTCTGGTTTCCGAGTGCTAAGACCCATGGTTACCAGCCTGAGACAATAAATGGTTCTATGTATATTATATGAGTCTGCTCCGTGTGGATCTATCTGTTAGCTACTAGGTTTATCTTGTATACATCTAACCTATATGTCAACACCCAGGAGAAAAGTCTCAGTACAGACCGCCCGAGTCTGGCCAGAGTTCCGACCGTGTCTAGACGGTCGGGGTGGGCATCTCCCAAAAGAAAAAGAAAAGCACTTGGGCAGTCAGTCGGGCACCCAAGTCCTAAGTCCACACTGCACAGTGAAAGGGGCAAAAAAATAGTCCAGGTCCAGGTTCAGGTTACTTCAGCTTCAAGTTTCCCCATTTGAATAGCCCATATGGAGCCCTTGAAATTAAAAGGCGCGAACTCAACCACCCAAATCAACACCCGAACCCAATAAAATAAAATAAAAACAAGCAATGCAACAGATGGACTATAGTCAAAGCGCAACCCCCCTTTTTTGCAGCCATGCCGTGTTGGTGGACACCACTTGGCATCTCACCGGCAGGACTCCGTCGCTTTTAACAAACGCCAACTGTGTTGGCAAATGTGGCGTTTGGAGGGTACTGATTTTTGGGTGCATGGTTGGAGTGGGTGAAGGGGGGATGTGAGATGGAAAAGTGTGGATGCCAAGACGTTTGTGATTTTTGATGTGGATATGTAGTTTGCTAGGTTCAATCCCAATTTGTATCTGTATACATTGCCATGGCGTTCAGTAGTTCAAAAAAAAAAGTGTGACTTTTAAGGAAGGTATACCTTGGCCGCAATATTGCGCCGGAGCGTGCCGGATGGACACAGCCTGGAAATGGAGTCGAATTGTAAAAGTGTATCACTGGTAGTCTATAGGTTATACAGGTCCACTGGGTCAGAAGGCCCCTGCTAGACACGGGAGGGGTGGAGCATATCACAAAGTGGTGGATGTTGTGAGGGAGCTCTTCAAGGTCTTCGAGACGGGGCCTTAACGGGGCTGACCGCTTTTCTCCAACACGGCTCATATTAGTGACGCGTCCTTTGGGACCCTGAGATGTTTTTTTTAAATCACCTTGCGATTTCATCATCGTCTACTCCGTGCTCCGTACTCCATACTGAGTAATTATCTTTCCCGAGAAACCCGCTGGGAATTTTGAAAAAAAAAAAAAAAGAAAAAGGGCGGTCAAACATTTTATGTGACAGTTCAACCACAGGAACATCGGAGAAATAAATACATAAACCCCCGGATTTTGACCTCAATTTACAATCGATCGTCCATGTAAAAACGATTATCACCTGGCTGAAATGAAAATCTCTCCCAAAGTACTCCGTAGTAATCAGATCCTTATCTACCACGTTGACGATCCGCCTCAATGCCGAGTGTCAATCAGGTACCCTTGACCAACAGAGGCCTGTCATCTGCATGGGGCTCCAAACTTGGCAGTTCCCACACGGCAGATCGGCATTGTCCCTAAATCAAGGTTGGCATTGTGTG